TGTTTAAAATAAAAATTGACTTACGTTTATTCTTCAGTGATGAATGCACGATGGGTTTCCTACCCTTAGGATGACGATGAGCACACGTTTAAATCGAATTAAAGAAATTTACGGAGTTTCTTTACACGCGAAAAAACGAAACTTTTTTAACATTCGACGATCAACACTGATTCTACTTTCCGATTCTTTTATGTTTTAATTTATCGATGCAACACACGAGTACTCCATTGCCTACGCGCTCGATTGCAATGATGTTCTGAAACAGAAAAAGAAAAAGAACAATTAATGTCATTGTTATAATAAAAAACCATTAAAGTTTTTATAGAAATGTTTGATAGAAAAATATACTTACTTTTAGTCTTCATTGATGATTGCAGGATGGGTATCCTACCCTTAGGATGACGACGAATAAAATAAAGTAAAATAAAAAAATCTGAAAGGCTGAAACATACTAAAAAGATTATAATACAAGATTCCCTGTCAATCATTTCTGAAGGCAAGACACACATTGAAAGATGATTTATCATAAAGAATCAACGTTAAATATAAAAAGAAAGTGTAATTATCTATGAGGATTGAATTAATTAAAAGTATAAGTTATACAAATCTTTGTATAATGTACCAAAGTATGCAACCTATTTGCTTGATAGTACTCGCTTTGCATTTCAATATGCAATCTCAAGCAATATCAATTGTTTAAATCTCACTACTTGCATATTAAGTATATAAAGTTAGTAAAAATATTAATTAAAAAGCTTTGAAATTGTTTAAATAAACAATAATTGAATCAGCAAACTGAATAAAGAGTAACTTAAAAAACAAACCGCTTGTTATACTGTTCTATGTAATGAAAAACTCTTAAAAGTATTGAAATTAAGACGATAACGTTATAAATTAAATAAATCAATAATTAAATACGTTGTCACACTGTCACCGTTCTTAACTTGTCGAAGGACGGGAGAGGAATGAGCATCTCCATCTCTCCCCCCCCCCCTCTCTCTCTCTGTCTATCGTTGAGAGCAACGATGTTCGGTTGTTTTGGTTTTTATATCATTGTTAGTTCGACCGTAGCTGAAGAACACGGTGACGTATTAACACGTGTTTCTATACCTAATGTTTAATATTTCTATTCTCTCTCTCTCTCTCTCTCTCTCTCTCTCTTTCTCTCTCTCTTTCTTTCTTTCTTTCTTTCTCTCTTTCTCTCCTTCTTCTTCCTTTATCACATTCTTGCTTTTTTTCTCACACTCTTTCTTTTCTCTATGTTATAAATAAAAAAGGATGGACTTACTTTGACAAATATGAAGGAGATAAAAAAGTAAACGCAACAATTAGGTAAGGTATGGGTATTCATGCTGGACTCTCCCATGTTCGGAAAACTAAAAAATTAAAACAAATAAGATTACATTAGTACAATATAAAAGAAATCAAATATATGAGTGTAATGTACGAGTAACCTATGCTTATGTATATATGCCTGTATGGGTGTGTGTGTGTGTATGTGATAAAAATCAAATTTAACACGAAATACGATCTTTGAATACATAATTATGAAAAATAATGAATTAGAGTATCATTAGAGATGTTAGTAAGTATCGATACTATGAAAAAAACTGGAAATTAAAAGAAATATTATTAATTAATATTGATGTGAAATTTGGCGCGAAGCCGATTTACATGGATGATTATATTTTCACAGATATCTTTTGAACTTTTCAATATTTCGTTATAAAAACACTCACGAATAAAAATCTTGTTTGTTGCTATTGTTTGATATATAATAGAAAGGGTGTACGTTAGAAAATATCTTTTAATTACCTGAGTTTAACGATACGATGCAAATATCCGTGCGATCTCCTGCACCGGCGCCGTGAAAAGAAAGAAGGAGACTATGCAAAAAGCGCTGATTGGCTGATTGTTATTTCGGACATCACGTGACCAATTAGAAATTCATATATACTTGTAAATTCAAATTGTTACTAACGTTTTATATACGCACACAAGCTTGCCGTCACACGTACATAACTCGGCTTTCTTCATGACCACGTTAGTCAAACTCTTGATATAATAATTTATATATTAAATAAATCAAAAATTAATTCTATACTCGTTATTTTTTAAATATGAACAAGATACGTGTATACCTTAAATAGAAATAAAGATTTAATTAAGATTAAATTTTATTGATTGGATGAATTATTCCCTTTATACACATACGCAACATTTAAAAAGGCACATAAACAACATTTAATAAAAATATTTTCACATAGGATAACGTGCCAGTTTAAAGGGGAATTTCGAAGAGGATAGTGCATAGATCATATATACGGAGCTTTTTAACAACAATATACATTTCTATCGATTAATTAAAAATTATTTTAATAATCTAATGAATTCCTCTTTTTTTCAGATTGTTTAATAGTATATACATTTGCATACATATTAAATAATTATTAACATACTTTGAATATTAAATAATTTCAATCTGATATTTTATTAGATAAAAATTTTATTCCACCCCGTCGAAGTCATCACTGTGCAGGAACAATAAAACAAATATATCTTTGTTAAAATAATTACATAAAAATTAAGAAAATGCTCAAATCAGAGCGTTGTAATCTTAAATTTTATCGATTAGTTGAATTATTCCTTTTATACACATGCTCAACGTTCGGAAAGTCTTATAAACAAATTTCAATAAAAGTAATTTGATAGAGGACAATGTTTCATTTCAACCGTGGATTTCGAAGGGAAGGGTACATAGATCGTATACTCCGAGCTTTTACAGAGTAATAACGAAAACGTTGTTGTTCATTAAATTTTTATAATGGATTGTTGTTTAAACATTTTCATAAAAATATAAAGAATACAAAAATATAAACATAAATTTTATTTTTTTTTTTTATTTCGAATATTATGTGTGTTTTACCTATGTAATTTTCGGAAAGTCATATAAACAACATTCAATAAAAGAACTTTCATAAAATACAACGTGCCAGTTTAACGGTGAACTTCGAGAAGGAACATTACAGCCTGCAATATGCTAGATTTTGAACTTTTCAGCTTTCCTATACATAATAGAAACAGTACATCAATAATTGATATATAAAGTCATTTTGTAAATAGAATTAAAATATAGAATTTTCCTATTGTTAGTTAAATAATTAAAAATTCTTTTTATGGCGATGTAATAAGATAAACTATAGTTAATTTACTTTCAATATCTTTATAAAAAACGATATTTTTTATCTCTATTTTTAATTAATAATAGGTTTCAGAATCTGTATCCTCTTCAAATGGATTAGGTGTTCCTTGCGGGGATTCATCGGCTTCAATTTCATCTTCGCTTTCAGGTTTCTTTTTTTCTTTATTATCCATAGCATATCTTCTCCATGGTAATCTATAATCAAAAATAAAATTATTCATTTACAAGATAGAGAGATAGATAATCTATGGTATATAAATATTTATGTAATTTGTAGGATACCTTTTTCTTTCATTATAGCAATCTTCAATAAATTTATGTGATACTATTTTAGAATGATCCTTCAGTTGTTGAAATTTTGGTGTATTAGCAAAAGCACAGACTAAATGTGTACATAAATTATTGGAAGTATTTGGATTAGCAATATATGTGGCGCCCATTTTAAGTGCCTTTCTTCTGATTTCGTCCCTTTGAGGATTAACATATCCACTAAGAGAAAAAGTTATATTTTGTAAAAGTTGAGAAAATAATTTCTTAGGTTTATTCTTGGTAACTTTGGTGGTAGAAGAAGGAAGTGGTATAGGTTGTGCTAAGCGTCCACACGTCGCACATGGTTTATCATCTGATTCTATTGAACATTTTGGACATTCCTTTTTAACTTTTTTTTGTGCATTCTTTTCCTCCGAAGTCGAAGGACGTTTTATTGGTTCTACATTATTATTACTATTTTTCTTTGAAGTTGGGGAAGGTATTATGTCTCCGAATGGAGTACGCATAACATTTTCATTTTGCTTATCCTTCATCTCTGTGGCATTAGCTATTGCTATATCTGTAGTTAATTTATATTTATTTGATTCAGGAGTTTTGTTTTGATTTCCAAATACTTCTTCGGCCTTACCAGCTTCCAATTTTTGTAACAAGGGTCTTTTCATTGGTTCCCTATTTTCTTCTTGGCGTTTGGAGAAAGCCAGCATACCGCTTTCTTTAGCTTTTTTAAGTAAATCATCCTTAGGATTTAGTTCTGCTTTCTTCTTAGCCATCATTTTAAGATATTTCTCTTTGAACTCATCTATTGGAGGTTTGCCATCATTTTCTTCTTTCTGTTTTAATTTGAACCGACCAAAAACGTCTAGCCCTAAATCAACCATTACTTCTGTTTTTGCTATGAAGAACATTAGACCGAATAATTCCTTCAAGTTAGCTGACTGCATACAAGTAACTTTAATCCGGTCAAATTTTGTTTTTATTTTATCTGGGTTTAATTCCTTTTTAGTGAACAGCTGTACTTGATCTCTGAATTTACCATCTGCAGCCTCATCATTCCTCATGAATTGATGCTGTACGATAGGAAGCCAAGTGTCTGGATCTGTAGATGTAGATGCAGTAACAATAACCACGCAAGACCGATAATTACCAATATCAATTCCTGTAATAGTAGAAGGTTCAGCTAGTTGAAAGGTAACCGTTGCCAACATTTCTCCAGGCTTTGCACATCTCCATGAAGTGTTCTTACGGTGATCCAATAGATTAGAAGCAGGATAAGATGGATGTTCAGATGAGCAGTGAATTATTTTTGTAAATTTAATGATCATTTTGGAAATCTTTGACTAATTCTTCAATTGTTAGATTTTTTTTTCTTATTCTCAATATTTTAATTTTCACATATAGCTTGGACAATTACATATTGTATAAGATATATTTTCAGATAAATTCGTTCCTTTCACTTATTCAATATCTAAAAATAATAAATAACACGATATGTCAAGATAATAAAACAATATTATAAAAATGTAATTTATTCATAACGTCAAATGTAATATAATATAACCTTACCAATGCCAACTCGCGTATTTTCTTCTATACAAATTGGAGAACGTGACAATTTCAAATGACATAAACAAGAAACATAAATGTTCTCATTTAAATAATTCAAATTAAAAATGTATTAAAAATCAACAAATCTGTAGCAATCAACGATTCGGTAATTAAATCGAGCGGATAATCAACAAAGAAGTAATGGCGAAAATAAATAAAAAACGATAAAAACATTTTAAAGTTTCCCGCGCAAGCGATGGTCACGCTATCGATCGATTGAATATTTTTTAATACAATTGCATGTCACTAGATGGTGCATGTAGATAATCGTGACGTCATACGAAAGAGAACCGAATGAATCCGAAGATAACCGAAGGCCGTTGGAAATCGCGAGAAGCGTTCCTGGCGGTAGTCTTCGTAAGTACGTTCACTCGATAGTAAGAGGACGATCATCGTCGTCCGGCGGTGCACGACGAGCTACGAGCAATATGGCGAAGTGTGTCATGGGCTCGGTGAGACGTAGTGCCGTTTGAAAGATGAAAGGTTCGCGGTATGGGTTGAAGATAATCTAGCGTTATGAGGTTCCTGTGAAAGTCGAAATTGTGCGCGCGCGTTAGCTGAAACGAGCCGTTCCGAGTGATCAGGTTATACGACACGACGGTGTGCGCGTTGTTACCGGTGTGAAAACACTCACTCACACATTTACACATACATACACATATACATAGGATCATACGTATACACATCGTTACATACATATATCATATATATATATATATACATTGAGAGATACAACGCGCGTAGCACTGCACGCATTACACGTACACATTTAAATTACACACAGCACATATATACATCTACATATACGAAATGGCCACGGATAAGATAAAGGTCGCCGTTCGGGTCCGGCCGTTTAATCGAAGAGGTATGTATGTTTCACAAAGAATATCATATATATATATATATATATATACATATACATAATATATATATATATTTTAAATTATGTCAAAATGAATCGTATGGAATTGAATTTATCAGGTATAGAATTAATTTTTAAATTATATTTTTTGAGGGAAGACGTCAAAGATGACGAGGTACGACGATGCGTCGTTCCATCCTTCCTTCCTTCCTTCCTCTTCATTCTTTTTTTCATTCCTTTCATTATTTCCTTTTTTAAAGATCGTAGAGTAGTCTCGGAACGATCGACCTTCGATTTCTCTCGATTGGAGTTAGTGCGATTATGACGAATGACACTTTTATCTTTGACCGCTCGCGCTCACCTGATCCACGTCGACGTCTCTCTTTTTAAACCTTCTCTTTTTATCTTTAACTATATATCCCTCTCTCTCTTTCTCTTTCTTTCTTTCTTTCTTTCTTTCTTTCTTACAATTTATATTCTCTTTCTCTTTTACTTATTCCCCTAGTCTCCATTTTCCGATTCGATCGTTCCGAAGTATCAAAGAGCAGAACAAACGGGCTCCGAACGCGTGCGTTAAAATGACAGAGTGAGAAAGAGTAAAAGAGAGAGAAAGAGAGAGAGAGAGAGAGAGAGAGGGAGAGATGTTTGACGTGAAACGTTTTTCTTTTCCTTTATTTTTTTGTTTTTGTAATCAAAATTATCATCGATGTTTTCGTTTAAAAATTTGTTTACTCTTTCTTGCTTTTCTTCACGATTATTTTCTTTTTTTCTTTTTAATTCAATGCGATGATTATGTTTATCACGATTTCTTTTTTTTTTTTTTTATAGCGTACATTATATCGTATTGGTAAAACACTAATTGTAATTGAGAGATAATCTTTTTGTATGTTTAGTATATTCGTGTGTAACCTATGCGTTATGTTGTTGCAAGTATGCACTAAGAAGAAGAAAGGATTCCGTGTTTACACAGAGCAAATCCCATAGCCTGGCGGTTCTTTGTTCGAAAAATAGATTCCGAACTTGCTGAGATACTTCTCGCGTTATAATCTACCATTAAAATGTATTTGTGATACGTATATATAGATCAATATTTAGGTTTGTGTTGGAGATTTTTGTTTTTGATTTTGTTTTGTTAATAATTCGTTTGGTGTTAAATTTAATTAATTATTATTTTTGTAATGGCACATTTTCTGCTTAATTTATATTTCTTTCGAATAAGTAATTTAAAGTTTTTTTTATAGAAATATCAGATATGTATAATGTGAAATTTCGAAATTTTCATTTTATTAACATTTATCAATGTTAGGATAGATTAAAAAGATTAAATAGATACATAATAGTATATTTTAATCTTACACATAATTGAAATAAAATTATATTTTAATTATAGAAATATATATTCTCAAACTATTAAGTGAAATTTAGAAATTTTATTTTATTAATATTTATCAATGTAAAGATAGAGAGATAAATAAAATGTACTCGCATGTGCAACCACATTTTCTTATTTATTTATTTAATTGTAATATTTTGAAATTGCACCGGTCCAAGAATAAAAAAAAAAAAACCGCTCTTTCTTTTTACACGATTTATTTCCCTCCGACACTATTTCAAAAGCCAGCCTTTATCTCTTACCCCGTCGTTAGCTTTGTTACAATGCACCACCAATGCATTTCGACGAAACATTTTCATCAAGGAGTTAAATGTAAAGCTCATGTTATCAAGTGTATTACAGATTAAACAAAAAGATATATTTTCGCTGATTTTTAATTAGAATTATTATCAAATTTTATGAAGAATAATTTACCAAATGTTATTTCTAACATATATTTTTAATTTCAACGTTTCTCATTCTTTCTATGTGTAATTTTTTTTTTTTTTTTCATTTACAATAATAACGCATTACCAATTTGATTAGATTTTTATTTGATTGGCTCGCATAAAAATATGTAAAAATATGTGTAAAAGAAGAAAAAGAATTTTCAAAATTCGATTAATATATTTAACATACATTTTCCTAAGCCAATTATTTCTTATATCATTCGGTTGTTTGTAAAGTTTTAGCCAATTTAAAAGAAAAAAAAAAAAAAAAAAATGTAATAAATATTAAATATATAAATTGGGATACTACACGAACTTTTTTTTTTTTGCAAGCAGTTCCAATAATATATGTATACTATTATAAGTTGAAGAATCGTTTGCATAATTTTACACACAGAAAAAAAAAAAAGAATAATATATTTTTCTATGTTTATATTTAGAGAATTATCAGCGTTAGTCTCCTCGTAGATGTAAATGAAGAAGACGAACGAACGAGTTATTAAAGTTCGCGAGATTGGCACTTTCGTTATCATCCTCGTTCTGAGTTTTAATTGGTTGATCGATAACGTCGACTTCTCCCTCCCCTCTCCCCCCATCCCTTTTATTCTCTCATTCTCTCTCTCTCTCTCTCTCTCTCTCTCTCTTGCTCTCTGTCTTTTTATTTCTCATTTCATCTCTGTTTTTCTGACGTTAAAACATTCATTATCATCGAACGTTAATTTTTCCTCTACAGTCCATGTTTTTATCATACAAATTATGTTCTACGAATGCATATAATAATAATAATAATAATATATTATTATAGATCGATCGTGATGATCGATTTGATAGGTTTTGTCATTTGTATTCTGTAATCTCGAATAAGAAGTACGTGTTGTTTAATATTTCAAATGATTATCGTAGGTTGCCAAGTAATGGGAAATATAATGGGGTCCTTTCATTTTTATTATTGGCCTGATCTATAATTCGTTTAATCCGTGTCATATTACACATACATCAAATATTAATAATAATTACATCATTTTCATTTACGTTTTGTTATATATTATATTGTACTACTACATTGTAATTGGAGCTTAGGATCAATAAAATATTATTAAATAAATAAATAAATAAATATAAATATATTTATTAATATCACACATGCGTGATTACATTACAGGGGGGTTTTTTTTCTTGTCTTAACAATTTTTTTTTCCTTTCGTTATCATTTTATTTAATCAAAAGTCGATTAAATGACCTCGCGATAAGTTAGATCGTATGATAAACGTCAAGTAAACATATACATGTGAATATATATATATACTTGTGTGTATGTGTATATGTTAAACACACCTGTCTCTAACATGTTTCCCCTCTTCGGACGTCATCGTCTATCTTCGGGACTTTTCCTTCCACTTTCGATTTCGCTGTAACTTCTCGAACACAACAATCTATAACGTTTACTGACGATAGATCTCGATCATTATCGTTTAACTACTATCGAAAGTAGGGCCCATCTCTTCGTTAAGTTTCTTTTATTTTATTTTTATTTTTTCTTTTTTTTTTCTTTTTCTTTCTTTTTCATCTTTTTATTCTTCTTCTTCTTCTTCTGCTGCTGCTGCTGCTACTACAAGTTATTTCTATTAAATCAATATGATTCATATATTTTATGGGATATCGATCATTTGAAAGTATATTCAGTGTATATGCCAATGGTGATATCCGTGAAAGTGACCTAAATTATTTTACGTATATATCTATATATATATTTTTTTTTTGTAAATAATTTTTATCGATGATAATAATAACAGGAATTGAAAATAATTGATTAATGTAATAAATTAATTCATTTTTTCTTTTTTTTTTTTTTTTTTTTTT